TGGACTCGAACTGCTGAAGCGTCAACCATTTCTGGCCAGCAACTTTCAGCGTCATTAAGCCGCTGCGCCACCACGTCCCCCTCATTTTACATAGATGTTTGCAAATTCCATTTTAAACCTTTTTTGGGAATCAGTATAACAGTCTACACCCCATAAAAACTATTAAAAGCTCTTAAAATAGTGTGTATGTGTGTGTATGTATATACAGAGTATGTGTGAATGTATGCGTATGTGTGTATATACTATATACAGTATATATAAAATGAAAAAGTAGTAACAGCACAATTCCAAAAATATTATCTCAATGGGAACTCCTGCAGTTTTAAAAACAGTTTTTCAAGGGTTAAGTGACATGTAATGACCTTTTAACAGAAAATTTTTCAACACATCTTTTCTGTTAGTACAAGATGGTACAGTTGAGTGTGGTGCATTAATCTTTCACTCTATGGCCTACTTATACAGATCTGGGCTGCAAAAATCCAGAGGCCAACAGAGAAGTACCCCAGACGCCAACCCTTTGCTGGCCCTGGCCAAGGGCTTCTCTGTGCCATGCAAATCAAAGACAGCTGGAGCCCCATCCAGGCGTTCCAGCAAGTCGGAAGCAGATTCCACGGGGGATGTGGGTAGGCGTGTCAGCCCTGCCTTGCGTGTTTCCATGCTTCTGGCTCCATGCAAATATCTTAACATCTTTCCGAATATCAGATGCATTTGCTTATGGTTCCCTTTTTAGGTTTATACACTTAGAATCTTCATTCTAAGCGTATAAAAATCTTGCAAGCAGGTAGGCAGATAGAGCTTAGATATGCAGCTATCTCCTGCGTCGTCATTTTTCCAGGCACGGGAAATAGAAGGCTTTCATTCCATCTCTGAAATATCCCAAATAACCTCATGGGGGTATTTGGGAGCTGTGGGTGAAATCCTTTTATCTCAAGTGACAGGAAAAATAATAAAATGGAACACAGGTGGACTTATTAAAATATTAAAAGCTCAATGGAATAGTAGATAGCTCGGGGAACGAAAAACATCCTGCTAAGTTTCAAACCAGGGATATTCCACTCGTCAAGCAGGTGTTACAACTGCTGAGCCACCATTAACCAGCTGCAAAAATGCAAGGAAGGAAGGAATTTTTATTTTAAAGCTGGTTGCTGTGCTTACATATAGTGCATTTTGATATATGTGCAATTTAATATAATTTAGTATACATATATTTTTATGTGTGTATGCATATGTACATATGAAATATGCGAGTCCAGTAAGATCCGCCCACCAAAAGGAAAGCAATGGAAAGTTGCTCTCCTAGAACAGAAAATTGGGAGGGTACAGCAGCAGGGGGATTGCCCAGTGGGGGGACGGTGGTAGCCTGCCGTCTGGACTGAATCCTTTGCATGCTGCTGCTAGAGTGTCATGATAGGTTTTTCTCAGGACAGCATGGAGCAAGGCTGGCCGGGGAATTCTGGGAGTTGAAGTCCACCCATTTTCAAGTTGCCAAGGTTGAGAAATGCTGCTGTACGCTGTCTTTCTGGGTGGGATGAATAGATTTGGTTTTGTTTACACTGTAAGATATCTTACTGGCAGGCATGAAAGACCTCAGCTTGTGAAAACTCATAAAATCACTGACAATAAAAGTAACAGGCATTGGATTGGATGGACTTAGCATCTGACGCTTATGTGTAAGGCTGCTCTTTATAAAATCAAGCAAACCACAAGTCTATGTGTGGTCTAGGAAAGTTCCAGGACCACATATAGACTTCAAAACGCTTTTTGCAGCTCCCAGATTCCTCTCTGTGATTGCTGAAAAATTAGTGATATGTTTCCTCTTCATTCAGAAGTCAATACAGGTAGTCCTCAGTTAACAACCATTCATTTAGTGACTGTTTGAAGTTACATCAGTGCTGAACAAAGGGACTTACAACCTGTCCTTGCACTTACAACTTTTGCAGCACCCCCACAATTATGTGATCGCAATCCAGGCGCTTGGCAACCAGCTCGCACTTATGACAGTTGCAGCGTCCTGGGGTCACGTGATTGCCATTTGAGACCTTCTCAGCTGGCTTCTGGCAAGCAAAATCAACGGGGAATTGCATGATTCGCTTAACAGCTGCAGTGATTTGCTTAATGACTGGTACAGAAAAGGTAAAATTGGGCATGACTTGCTTAGCGACTGCCCTGCTTAACAATGAATTTTCTGGTCCCTATTGTGGTTGTTAAGCAAGGACTACTTGTAGTATTGTAAGCCCTGAAGTGGGCTTAATACAGTTAAAAAACAGGAGCATTGAACCCCAACTAGAACAACATGTAAAAACCTGGTTCCAACCTCATTTATGATGTGGTCTTACTCACTCTGCATGAATGCCCACCCACAGTGGTGCCTAGCCACCAAAAGCAATTACAGCAACCGATACAGCCATTTACTTCTGTGTAGATCATTATTAGTGTTAGAAGTCAGAAAACAATGTTGCAGCAGAGGAGATAGCCCAGCTGACCAACATAAGGTCTTACTTGTGTCCTGAAAGTTCACATCATTTCCATTGTATGCATTTTTTAGTTTGTTGGTCATTACTCTTAGGGCCATGATTTGTTGCCTTATGTAGGTATCAGGCCTGGTGATGTCCACATCAACCTCAGGATTGTTTATCTGATTGGTGAGCCCATCATTCATGATCTCGGGTAGATACCTGTGCATCAGAACAGAGAATTAAGACACACCATTGTTATGATTACACTTTCATGGCATTATTCACTGACACAAGGACATTCATCCATGGCACATGCATTCGTCTTTTGAGATAAACTTGGTTATAGAATCATTCACTCATTCTATGATGTTTTATACTTGGGGGGAGGGCTGCCTTCCTAGAATGGATGCAAACAGGTGGTTCTCTTTTCCATAAAAGTCACTGTATTTCATGAGTAACCATGGCTCAAAATTTGAAAATTCTTAAAAATCAGTAGGGGTCATCCACTGTGTGTCCTCTTTGTGTATGTAATTTTTAAATGGAGAAATATATTGTGATATGGCCTGAACGTTTGTAAGAAACAGATGGAAGAGAATATTTTCATGTAATATCTATCTGTGTTTGAAAGAAATAATGTACTACTATTTATACTGTGGTATAATGTAAACTGAATTAATATTGTTAACTTTGCTAAGAGAAACAAATAATTCCATACTAAAACGCTGTTGGAAATGGGCACAACTTACTTCTGTGCTCTTCTTCCGGTCCTTCTGTTGAAATACCAGAAATTAAAAGCTCTAGGTTTTATTCAGACTAGGTTAATTTCCCATTGAAATAAATGAACCTTGAGTCTTTACTTAAGGGCTATTGATTTCAGTGAAAATTAAGTATATAAATTAGGAAAATAATTCTCTAGTCAACAGAACAACATTCCAAGGGCCTTAAGAGAGATATGACCTTGGAGGACAAATCAGAAGAGAGGAACATCTTCTTTCTTCCATATCCATTTTCATGGCCGGTAGTTCCTAATCTTGGTAGGCTTTGGAAAACCCTAAATAAGCAGCACAGTGATTTGGCAGAGTATGGGCTGTAAGGAACTGTGAATGTGGAGAAATGAAACCTCTCTGTCACATCCTAATCATCCTAATCAGCCCTAAATGAACTATCTCTTCCAAAAGAAATATTCTTTTTTTAAACACAGCTATCAACTAAGGATGCTGAATGTTTCTCCTCCCACATTTCCTTTCTGTCCAAACAACCCTGGCTGAACACTGACTGTATTGGAGGTTCTGGCAGTGAGTCCTCTTGAGCTTGGGGATTGGATTCCCCTGCCCATTTGAAAAGAAAAAAGAAAAAAGAAAAGAAAAAGAAGGCATATAGGCGTACTAATTAGATCCAGCAGAAATGTGTTAACAAGAAAATATTGTTAGTTAACTAGGAAATAGTTTCGAACATCATTTTTGATGAACTCTCAGCAATCTTGTGAAAGACTGGACTTCCTTTATGGATATGCTGCTCCACAGATGCCTTGGGCTTGTTGAGTGTACTTAAGCTGCAGGAAACATGTAGACCAGTGTTGTCCAAACTTGGCCACTTTAAGATGAGTGGACTTCAACTCCCAGAATTCCTCAGCCAGCCATG